CCTGGTACGGCTGCCTCATCAACAGCTTCATTCTGTGTCCTCGGATTTCCCCCAAGCCCCTCAAAGACTGCCATTCCCCTTTGAACTGAACTGTGCTTATTTACCTGCTTCTGCTGACAATAAAAGTCATTACCAATCCATTGGTTCTAGTCGGTGCTGCTTTTGGGTCCAAACCTCACCCGTTACGGTGAGACCAGTCAGTCAGACCAGTCTTGGTAAAATCTCTAGCTGCAGTCTGTGAGATACAGCTACTGTTTGTACAATCATTCAGGAAGTGAACACCAACAATTATGGAGTTGATGGAGAGGCAGATCAGCAATGACCTGAGCAGGGAGTTCAGTTTAACAATATACTATAAGGTTGTCGACCAAGACACAATTCCTTGTCTCAGGAGTCAGACAATTAAGTTCAGTTCTAAATTCTTACCTTCCATCAGCAGGTTGTTCAACTTTAAATAAAACAGGATGATCCATGGTCAGGTCACTCTTCATGAACACACAGCTGGGTTCAGGAGAGTCTGGTCTCTGCTGCTGCATCCTCATATAAGGTGATGACAAAGGGTGACAAAGGAAGATTTGTTTTAACCAAAAAGACAAAAACATAATTCTGAGCAAACTGTCAAGTTGCTGTGTTAAAACAACACTGGTACAAAATCTGTAAAAAGACAGTGGATGAGAATCCTTGATGGAAAAGTCCTTAAAAACAACTCAAACTAAAAAAACAAACCTATGATAGACATTGTCATATGTATTTACTTTAATCTATGCATCTTATCGTTTATAATTTAATGTAAAAAAAGGGGAAAAAATTAGTATAATTTAGATTTTAACTGGATAACTGAATGCCTTCTTTCCATGCAACATTAGACATACATCACACAACAGAAGACAGAGGAGGTGTGTTGCATACTCAGTGTTGTCCAGCAGAGGGCAGCATAATACTGAATAAAAAGCTCTGGAGGTGACAGAGAGCTGCTTCTCTCTGACATGAAGGTGTGTGTGTCAAAATGAGAAAGTCGATGTTTTTATTCAATTGGTTTTAATTTCTGTGTTTTCAGTTTTGTAAGTACATTTTATTATATATTTTGATGTCGCACTTGTTTTTGTCAATGCATATATTTTTTTTTTCTCTTCCTTGTATGTACAGTATATATGTGGAATGAAACATGGCAGAGTATATTCAAATCACTGCCAATGATTGAAAGACTCAAGAGATTAACTGTCACACACCTGGGTGGACAAGATGGGTGGATCATTATCTATTTAAGATCATGGTTGTATGAACTGTTTAACATACTTCTTTGAGGTCTGAAACATTAGGATGACCAATAAATTATGTTTGTTTGTTAAAATGCACCTAAGCCAAGTTGATCCAAACTGCCCAACCAGTTCTGACATGCTGTGCATGCTTCAATGATCGTGTGAGCTCAGGTTACAATCAAATTGCTGCAAACAGTAGAGGATGAAAACCATTCTCAAACCACTCTGCTTTCACTCAGAGGGAAACTCTGAAGATTAAAAACTCTTCAATAAAAAAAATTAAGAATTAAACAGATCATCCAGAAACATTTCTTCTGTCCCCTCAAACAGTGATACAACACAATGTGGCCAAAGTGATGCTGTTCATGAGACATTTACAGATTTCTCTGGTAGGATTCTCACCTGCTGAACTCACTTCAGGTCGACTACAGTTTTCCAGTTTTCCACCTTCATGTGTAGAGGAAGCTTTTGGAGAGAAGAAACTGCTCGTTCTCCCTCGTCAGTCCTGGTGTCTGTGTGTGTTTGATCTGAGGACGTGTCACTTCCTCATACGTTCAGACTGAAAATCTTATAGAACATCAGAGTGACGTCAAAACCTGTCTAACCAGAGACATTTTAAGAGAAATCACACATCAGATGATGTGGTTCTAATCTCTGTCTGCTAGATGGTGTTAACTACCCATCAAATGAGGTAAAGATCAGGTCAGCAAATATTCACATTAGCTACTAAGTTTTGGTATCTAGCTTTCCTGCAAAGAACAGCAACTACAGTAAATGTCAGTGTAAAGGATTAAACTATAGCAGTATAGCAACAACAATATCTTCATCTCCATGATGATGATGATGATATTGATGATGATGATGAAGTACTATTTTTCTGAGTCCACGACTAGTTACAGAGGCAAATATTTTTAAGGCACTATATTTACTTGCTAATTTAAGTTATTTACTTCATATAATCAACACATATATTAATTACTAGTTAATCAGACAAAAGTTTATTGATTCACAGTCTGTCCAGCAGAATATAACCTCATTAAATCAGCCCCACCTCACCTGCTGCCACATTAAACTGATGTTTCCACATGAATGCATCAATAATTAGAACATCATAAACTGGATTACCTTTATACTTTTACTTAAGTTACATTTTGAATGTAGGAGTTTAATTGACACTGCTGTATTTCTACTTTTACCTAAGTAACCCTTTGGAAGTGCCTGACCCATATGTTTGGAACCACTGGACTAAACTATCGAACTCTATATAAAGTAGTTCAAACCAGCTCCACTTGGGGCAGCTACAACAGTAAAATGCTACTGAAGCATCGATGACTCAGGGTTAATGATCTCATTATGTCAGATAGAATCAGTGATCAATCACATCACAGTCCAGCAGCAGCAGAAATAGGCTGGTAGTAGTGCTAATGTCAGTGTTGTGCAAAATCACCTTTCACAAGAGCTAGCTCCAAGTTCAGTTCACAGTCCAAACAATGAACTACTTCACATTAATTTCTTCCATTTTAAAAATAATTTTTCAGTAAAACCTACTCCTACCCATCCATTCCAGCTGCAAATCAAGTTACAAAGTACTTTTCAATAAAAACACAAATGCAAATAATAAAATCCAAACTAAAATATATGTAGGAGCAGTTTTAGTTAGTGTTGGCAGATTATCTTATTTTTATTATTTTTTATTTTTGGCTTTAGATTTAATTATTGATTTGGACACACGGTGGGAGTAATTGGAGACACACACAGGATATATGTTGGGTATAGGTGGGAGGAAGTAGGTAGACACAGGAAGTGGGAGAGCACACAAGTTTTCACCAGATCTGAGGCAGAAAGGACAAAGGAACAACACCTGTAAAGAAAAAAGTGGTATGTTTGAAACCTTCGGCATTATGTCAATAAACGACAATTAAACCTGCAAGGATTGACTGGACATTGAATCTGTCTTTTGGGTCTGCGTAAAGACAACTGCCGCTCCTCCTGTGCAAGTAATGGCAAGATTGGAAATTGGATGAACTAATGAAAATTGCTATTACAATATACAATAAAAACAACAGTCAAAGTGAGTCTTAACAAAGGATTTAAAAGAAGATACAGAGTTTACCTGCCTGAGATCTGCAGGCAGGGAGCTCCAACTGGATCCCAAACTGCAAAGGCCCAGGTCACCTTTAGTAACAAGTGGTGATTTGCTGGATGATCTCAGGCAGCAGTTAGGCTCACAGGGAATAAGCAGATCATAGATCAGAGAGAAGCCAGACCGTTCAGTGCTTCAAAAACAAGCAGTAAAATTTTAAAATCAATTCTAAAACTCACAGCTAACCAAAGAAGAGAAACCAGGATTCGTGTGATATGGTCACTTCTCTTGGTACAAGTTAAAAGCCTGGCAGCAGCGCTCTGAATCAACTGCAGTCTATGGATATTTTGTCTGCTGATACTCAAATAAAGTGTGTTACAATAGTCTAATGGTGCTCGCATTCAAGTTCATTTGTTACAAATAGTAGGAAAAAGAAATTTCTTTTTGATCCGATACCAAGTAAAACAGGGCTAGAATCGCTTATACAAATACCAATACTTTTTAAAATTAAAAGTGGCCTACGTATTTTATTTCTAGGGACAGCAGTGTTGTTATTTATGAGGTATATGCATCATCAATAGGTTAAATGTTAATACAATAATAATGGCCACTAAATGATTCGCCAGAGATTAGCAATCATGGAATGCAGGATGGTAGAATTTATACCTGCTACCTGTGAGACCTGGGTTTGATTCCAAATTGAAGCATGTACGTAGCAAGTGAAGAAGAACAAAAAGTGGCTGCAATAATTCATGCAGCATCACTGCATTCATTTATTTTTTTGACCATTATTTTAATGCGATAGGGACAGTTAGAGAGCTGCTGCGGTAAGTACTGACCAGGTGAGCCACCAGGGCACGTCATTGTTGCCTTTATGTGTGCATGGTGCACAGCGCAGTGGTTCATGTTTGAGTGCAAACACGACAAAGAGTGGATGCACTTATGCACATTGCTTGAACAGACAGTTCTACTCTGAGTCCAACACAGAAGAGAGAAACTGAAACTGGTATCGATCTTGCCGATTCAAAAATCGATCTTCAAAGAAAAGACATAGTGTGTGTTGTATTGAGTTCGATCTGCCCACCCCCAGAAAACAGATACATTCAGTTTGAGACAATGAGCGTGTTCATGCACAACACATATTAGTGGTATTAGTAAAACATTCTGTAGTAAAAAACTGAGTTGTGCACGCTAAATAAGTTATGAGTGAATGATTGAATGTATGAATGAATGGATTTAACAAAACAGACCTCTAAAACTTAAAGTATTTTTCACATTAAAATAGTTTTCACTTGTCGGATGAAAAATATTTGCTGACTCATGAAGCTTTGACTGAACTAAATTATAACAATGATAAACAACAGAAGCTACGAGACACTGCTCCAAACATGTTACAGAAGTAAGAATCAGAATCAACACAGTGTGCGCACAAAAAGTTCATCAAAGGCACAATCAGTGATTCAAATGGAAACCAAAGTGAAACCTCGTCCACCAGCAACATTTAAACCACAGGACTGAGGCTGCTGTCACTTCCAAAGACTCTCCCTCCTACACAGAACACAGACACTGAGGAGCCAAATGAGTAGTTCGTAAACCTGAACCCAGGATACAGAGGTTGAGTGAATGTGGTGGTGAAAGTGTGGAGGTGGACCAGTGTGTCAGAGGAGACTCTGTAGAAGGACAGAGTGCCAGCAGGACAGTCCACATACACTGCTACTCTGTGAGAGACGGAAGAAGAGGGGGATGCCCGTCTGATATTGTGCCAGACAGAGTAACCATCATCATCAGAGCAGATCAGAGTCCAGAACTGATCATTTCTTCCAAACAGGCTTTAGTGTTTCCTTTCCTTATGATTCCTCTGAAAGTCACTGATATATGAACCTCTCCTCTCCACTCGACCTCCCAGTAACGGCAACCAGTCAGATCATTTCTACACAGCAGCTGACAACAGTCATTACATCTGTGTGGATGATCACAATATGATTGATTCTGTGTCACACATGTCACCGTCCTGTTGTTGTCAGACAGTTTGAGGTTTCCATTTACTGTGTTTGTGTCCAGTTCCAGTTCACAGGCGTCTGATGGAGAGAACAAGACACAACACAGCTGCAGTTTATCATCTGACTCATCTGGTGGTTTATTGATTGATTATTGACTGATATGTTGTTATTTCCTGTAAAGTTTATCAGTGACACAGTTTATCAGACATCTTTGATCAGTAACGTTTCACTGAATAAATACCACGACTATCAACATTATATTTACAGACAAACTAGCAATGTGCCGTTTGGCCATTATTAGTGACATTAACCCTTGTGTTGTCTACACATTCTGTATACTCCCCTTGTCCTCTGGGTCAAAAATTACCCGCCTTCACTAAACCCCTGAAATATAGAAGCTTAATTTAATTTTTAACACCAAATGTAGTTTGCATGGAGAAACAACCTGCCATTCATCACAAACTGTGTGAATATCTGAGTTTTCCTCTTCACAGTGCAGAAAGACTGCATTTATTCAGTGGACCACACTCATTTTTATTACAACACTGCTGTCATAATTGTCTTCTTTACTAAAGTAGAGGTTTATTGTTAATATCATCATTTCTTAAGGTACTGCAGAGGTGACAATATTTTCTATCAAGAGACAATACTTGTATAGCCTAAGAAAGTAGCAGAAATGTGCAGAAAGTAGTTTTGAATGCATTTCACTGGAGGCGCTCCCAATAACAGTCAGGGTTTTTGCCAGTGAACAGTTATATATTCTTTTCTGTACAATTACGAATTAAACAACACAATATATATGTCCCCCATTTTTTAAACTATTGCTACCACCCAATAAGTGTGTAAACACAACAAACAATAGTTAACCATAAAATATACAAATAAATGCAGATATATTTCTCACATGTGCAGCACACAGTGTTGTTTTACACAGTATGTGTTTTACAGTCCTTCACTGGTGGGCAGACCTGACAATTCTTACTTGCCCAAGCAAGTAAGGCTGGGGCAGCTGGATCCTCAGGTAGAACAGGAAAAGATCCAGCCCCCTGAACAGCTTTCATGGTTTGGGTTATGGTTAGTATTAAGCTGTTCAGCAGTAAAAACTCGGGGTACTGTCATCTGCAGCAACTCTTCAGCCTCTTGAATGTAGAAGTATTAGTGAACAATTCTTTCAAGAAATCTTTATTTTTTGTCTGAAATTGTTTGAACTTGAGTCATGTCTGGGGTAAGAAAAATGATGCTGCACCTGCACGAGAAAGTTGTAATTCTGTCTAAGATAAATCAGTAGGACACAAACTCAATTGCTTGTGTGTGTGTGTGTGTGTGTGTGTGTGCGCGTGTGTGTGTGTGTGTGTGTGTGTGTGCGCGTGTGTGTGTGTGTGTGTGTGTGTGTGCGCGTGTGTGTGTGTGTGTGTGTGTGTGTGTTGTTGTTTTTTAAGTGTGTAACTGACTCTGTGACTGTGATTTGAACTGCTGGGTCAAAAATGCCCCAAAGACAATCTTTGTACCCTGGTGGTGTACAGCTTACATGGAAATAGGAAAAAAGGCAATATTTCACTTTTTCTAATGTTGGGTTCACTCTAGGAAAAGTAATTGAATTTCAAGTTGAAAAAACATCATTTAGGGAGTTTTCACTGCTGTTAAACAGTGTGGCGGGTCATTTTTGACCCGAAGACAACACAAGGGTTAAATCCACATTTACACTTCCTGAGACCAGGTTTTAACCTGTGCTCTCCACGATGGTCCACCCTGGAGGAAGAAACACAGTCATAGTGATTTTCTATCCAACATGAGTCCCAACTGCTGTTCAACATGAAGAACTTTCCTTCAGTTTGTCAGTGTGACACAGAAACAGGCTGAAACTCATCAGTCTGAACTGGTTCCTTGTTTCTTTCACTGGTGTCTATGAGGAAAACATGTGAAGAAGTAGAGTAGATAGATAGTAGAGGATAATGTGACATAAAAACAATAAGAGTCACCACTGATCTGCTCTGTGTTTTTATTTATGTCCTCTTGCATAATTCAACAGAATGGGAAATCTGGGTCTCTGCAATTTCTCCCTTAAAATGAATATTGACCAGAATTTACACATGAGCAACTAAACTGTTTACAGACTGTTCACAGAACAGTTTAACACCAGAGTCAATGGGCCTTATTCACCAATATCTTCTTAAGTATTTTCCTAAATTCTTTCTTAAATTGTTCTTAAAACAGTCTTTAAGTCTATGTCAGATTCATGAACATGTTCTTAAACCACAGAATTGTGCGCACCTGGTTCTATATTGATGAATGCCAATCTCCTCATAAATTGAAAGTGTGTGCCAGTTTTGCCCTAATTAGCATAGGTAAACACCCAAAAATGCCCTTAAAAGGGCATGAGACTGAAAGGCCATGTGAGGACACAGACAGAAGTCACAAACAGACACCATAAGGGAAAGTTGAGAAAATGCCAAAACGAAAATCTAAAGATGGAGCACTGGAATCAAAACGCAAAAGGAGGAAGTGTAGGTAGTGCTGTTTTTGAGCTGGAGGAAGTGAGCTGCAAACGAGTGGTTAAGTGTTCATGTAGCATTCATGTATTTTAAAAGACCATGATGTTTTGTAAATTTTCTTTTTTTAAATATTAATAATGTTATATATTGTAATTTAAATAATATAATATTTTATAACTGTAGGGCAGAATAAAACGCAATAACCACTTATTTTGCTAATAACATGTCAGCACTCAAATGTGTGTAAGAGTACTCTTGAGTGTTCTGTTCTTACCTAAGAACAAATCCCAAATAAGACAACATTGGTGAATGTCAGAATCTTCGTAAAAAGTGCGTAAGTGGGTTTTAAGAAGAAATTTCTTTCGAAGAATGGTTGGTGAATGAGGTCCAGTGTGTTTAGTATCATTTATATGTTTATAATCAAAGCCTCTGTTTCAGAGAGGCCATATGCTGTACAGATTGTGGCTAAAAAGTGTACTGAGAAGTCACATTGACCTTGAACTTTGACCTTTACTACCAAAAAAAATGTTGACCTGATGATGGCATAAGATGAAAAGTCAGAGGATCACCAAGGTTATTAAAGTTCATATAGGAATATTAATGAAAGGGGAACATGAATGTCTGAACCACATTTCATCACAATCATCCAATAGTTGTTGAGATGTGTCAGTCAGGACCACAAATAACAATCTCATGGCAGCTCTAGAGGAAAATTAAGGGAGTCAATGATGTCCTGATGGTTTAATTTCTCTGCATCCTGCATATCTTTTCACATTTTATCGCAATCCAAAAAAGTGTAAACCTGCAGGTAGCACTATAGGGAAAAGTCAGATGGTCACTTTTTATAATCCCCTGAGGATGAATCTTCTGAGGATCGTAAACTCATCTAAATATGTTTAGTAGTTGTTGAGATATTACAGTCTGGACCAAAGCTTTGGGCCGACCAACCAATACTGTCATACCTACATCCATACTGCTATCATGGGTAAAAATTAGAATGATGTTCTCTAATGAAGGGATTTCTCCATTTGGTAAAAGATGTGTGAGGATGCATGTGTTTGATAATTTTGGCAAGTCACTGAGAGAAATAAGAAGTCTTTCATGATGATGGACCCAACAGGGAAACATGAAATGAAAGAAAGGAAACAGGCCTCTAGAGAGTTCTTGATGGCTGTCCATACCTGAGAGTGGACAGTCTCCAGTGTGGATCCTCCTGTTCAGCAGACAGCAGCTTCACTCCTGAGTCTCCTGGATGATTGTAGCTCAGGTCCAGCTCTCTCAGATGGGAGAGGTTGGAGCTTAGAGCTGAGGCCAGAGCAGCACAGCCTTCCTCTGTGACAAGACAGCCTGAAAGACTGAACACACACACACACACACACACACACACACACACACACTTAATTGAGCTGTAATAACCAAATCTGACTGTTAACACTTTTGTTAATTTACACTGTTAATTATGTTTCAACCCTCACCACTGGTTTATTTAATTAGTTGTGGGGATAACTCTCTTTAAACCACAAGGTTTTTGAGTCCAAATGAACATACTTGAGCAACTGTGATCAATCTGTGTTTTATATGAAGAAGTCAAGTATCTGTGTTCTAAACAAAAACATTACAGTGCGTGACAGGTAACCTGAGTCTACAAAATTCAGTTCAATATTATTACCTCATTAATGCAAGATCCATCCATCCATTATCTATACCGCTTATCCTTGTAGGGTCGCTGGGGGGCTGGAGCTAATCCTAGCTGACATTGTGTGAGGGCAGGAGTTGATGTGAAATAAAATCTAACACTCTTCACTTTGGCTGGATAACTTTAGAGGAGACTGGCGTGGACCAGATGACTCTAAAGTTGTCAAAATCTTCAAAAAGGAAAACTTGATGATTAAAAGTTGCAACATTACTCTGAGGCACTCCTATTGTTTTGGTTCAGTTGGTCTTGACTTGGCTTATAAAAATAAAAGATTGCACATGTAGACAAAAATAATGTTACTGGGAGCTTGTGGCAAAGAAAAATAAAGGATGCGAGCCACGAGTTTGTGGCTAGCAGCTTAGAGCTAAGAGTTTACATGGCTACAGAACTGGGCTTTGAGCCGGGACTCTGAGCTTTGAGCAAAGATCTCAGCTTCTAGTTTCTGCATCGTTTTTCTAGCTTCAGCTTTTCAGGCTCTAGCATTGTTTCTCTAACCTCTTCCAGTTTCTTAGCATCTAGCTTCTTAGAAATGAATTGATCACGACTGTTTTATTCCCTGGGGGTTGGCGCACGTTTAAGGGGCGTCACCTGTCTTCTCCTTTGTTTCAACTTGGAGAAGAGAGTGATATACCACGGAACTTTTGTATAGTTTAATTCTAGAGGTTACCTATAAACTTGCATGTCCGTCTTCCACCATGACTATAAAACATTAAATGAAATAACATAAAAAAAAATTAAGGGCAATGAAGGATAAGAGTAATACCAGTGTTGATTTCATATTACATCCTTCAAACCTGGAATTAATCACGATACAAGTGGTTACCTGATCAAACAACAAGATAAACGTTTCCCAAAGCTAATAGTCTATAAATGTTGATTATACAGCAGTTCTTTGACTATAATAATAATAACATGGACATGCTGGATGTCATGTAGTGTGTGTTACCTCGTGTGAAGGATGCTGACAGTATGGTCACAGGAAGGACATTGTCTTAAAGTCTACATGTTACATTTCAAACATTCTATAGGACAGAAATTTGGGATTGACCTATTACATAGAAACATCTCATGAGTTACAGAACAGTTAGATATTTAATTTTAAAAATCTTCCTCAGATCTGTGTCTGTGAAGAGAGTTCTGCTGGTCACTACCCAGGATTGGAATGTGGGTTGTAGTTTATGACTCTTATCTAGAGAGGGACAGAGGAAGGGAGGTTGGTGTGTGTGTGTGTGTGTGTGTGTTTTCATGCATGGCACAGACAGGCCTGGATTCACACCTTAGTGATAATCAGTACTTTTGTTATTAGTTGTCTTATATAAGAAACAATCAAAGTGTCTTATTGTTACAAACTGGAGATTTTGCCTATGTTCTCCAGTTGTCTGGTGTCTATTGGTTGATCCTCTGGAGTTGACCCTTTAACCTTTGGTCTGGTTCTGTTTCTCTCTGGCATGCTAAAAGCATGGACTGTTTGTGGGAGAAGGGTCCTTTGACTCTGTTACCTATCAATTTGATAGTTTGATGGTGGGAAGAGTAACAACGTGTCAATTGTGGGTCCATAACTCTGTATGTCCTTATAATGAACTTCCTTATTGGCCTATGACTGATGCCAGGCCAGGTATGTACGCTACATTCCAAACAGAAAAGACAAAGGTTTCCTTTCTGCAGCTGCTCAAAAGCCAGTTTTCCCAGAGACTCAATCATTGTCCTGCTCTCTGGACTCCAGTGTGGATCTGTCTCAGCTCCTCCATCATACTTGATGTTCTTCAGTTTGGACTGAACCACCAGGAAGTGGATGTACATCTCAGTCAGGGTCTTGGGCAGCTCTCCTCCCTCTCTGGTTTTCAACACCTCCTCCAGAACTGTAGCAGTGATCCAGCAGAAGACTGGGATGTGGCACATGATGTGGAGGCTTCGTGATGTCTTGATGTGGGAGATGATCCTGCTGGCCTGCTCCTCATCTCTGAACCTCTTCCTGAAGTACTGCTCCTTCTGTGGGTCAGTGAACCCTCTGACCTCTGTCACCATGTCAACACACTCAGGAGGGATCTGATTGGCTGCTGCAGGTCATGTGGTTATCCAGAGGCGAGCAGAGGGAAGCAGTTTCCCCCTGATGAGGTTTGTCAGCAGCACGTCCACTGAGGTGGACTTTGTAACATCAGTCAGGATCTCAGTGTTGTGGAAGTCCAGAGGAAGTCGAAACTCATCCAGACCGTCAAAGATGAACACAACCTGGAACTGATCAAACCTGCAGATTCCTGCTTCTTTGGTTTCAGTAAAGAAGTGATGAACAAGTTCCACCAAGCTGAACTTTTTCTCTTTCAGCACATTCAGCTCTCTGAAGGTGAGTGGAAATGTGAACTGTATGTCCTGGTTGGCTTTGTCTGTTTTCCCGATGCCAGCCACTCCCTTTGTCATCACTGTTCTGATTGGTTCATCTCTTGCAGGTGAGGCTTTAAAGATGTCTTCTTGTCTGATGTTTGTTTCTGGTCTGACTGGTTTCCTGGATGCTGTTTAGATCTGATTCAGAGGGGTTGGGTTTCTTGCTTTAGTGATCCCTTCAAACACACACTGGAACTTCTTCTTTAAGTTAGATTTGAGTCTACATTTACAAACTGCAGCTCCACTTCCTGAATGAACAAACAACAAATAAGATGAATGAATAAATTAAAAGGTTGGTATTTCAACTTTGCATCCCCCTAAAGAATGAGTTTAAAAATATATTTCCCTCCTCCAATTGAGATGTTAGTTAATGTCCCATATATCCATCATATTAAGTCTTTAGAGAAATCCTCTTACTGCTCTGCAGACAGTCAACCAGCTCCTCCTGCTTCATTCTCCTCAGGAAGTTCAGTGTGACCTTCAGAAATGCCTTTCTGCTGCTCCTCCTCTGTTCTTCATCCTGACCGTCCAACAGCTCCTCATCCTCCATCTGATTCTCTAAGCATTCTGGGTAATCTGTTCTCATGACCCTCTGGACTCTCTTCAGCTCGTTCTTCACAAAAGTGACAATGTTCTCCTCAAGCAGCTGGAACAGATGATAAACTGAACATTTTATCTAGAACACAACATGTGACGCATGTGTCAGTCTGAAGGCCTGCTGGTCTAAACAGAGCAACATCGAGACTGTTAAGACCTGAATCGTAGTTCAGCATTTAACCTGTGGTTGCTGTAGTTAAATAATAAAAGTGTGATTGTATATGTACAGAACATAAATATGGAGTCCAGGTCTGGTTGATGCTGCTGGACAGAGTGATTACTTTGGACCTCTGAGCTCTCCTGCAGAACTCTGTGGAAAACGCCAACTTTAAGGAAAATGAATGACTTCAATATGACACAATTATTAAAGGTGACTGATGAGTTCAAATTCCTCCAGTGATGAGAGGAGGATGGCAGATGAGTGGGAGATGACTTGGTCATGAGTCAAGAGGAAGAAGGAAATGAGGATGTTTCACAGGAGTTTGGTTCAGTAACAGTCTGTGCCCACAGTAATTTAAAGCAGGAATACAAACATCCCAATTGACCAAAGCAGCTTCCATCCTGATAAGCCCTCAGTGTCATGGGGCTTTATTCTGTACAGAGGCCGAATATCAGGAGCTGTTACAGTACCAAAGGCAGGGATGGAGAGGTGGCTGTTTACACATAGAGGGGAGCTGTAGAGGCCTCCAGTGTGAATGCTCTGAGACAACATGGTTAGAGCCATCAGGACCAAACCTGCAGCCTCCAAATGATGATGGATAAGATGTTGTGATTTGTAGGATGGTAGTGCAGGGATACAGGTCAGGGTCTCATCAGTCTTAGCTGGGTCACCTCGTTGAAGTTGATGCCATAAAAATACCTCAACAGAGGATTGTAGAGTTCCTTTTCAAGAATTATAACAGTGACAAGTCAGTGAAAAAAGGATTTCCAGAAAGCCAGAGTACCCAGAACACTCAGTCGATGTCATCTAGCCCTTCTCGGAAAAATATGAAAACAAGGGAAACCTGGTTGTCTTGTGGTTGGACCTCAAAATGCATATGGGTCCATACTGCACAAGGTAACTGAGATTGCAATGGGCATCCTGAAAGATACAAGACTTCAATCTGAGCAATGACAGAAACTTTGTCAAGGGTTTGGGCAAGGATGAGCTTCAAGCCAGATAAATCCAGGTCCCTCATACTGCTTAGGGACAGAAATGTGGTTAAAGTCCATTTCTCTTTGGATGGCACCCAGCCCCATGGATCTCAGAAACTAGTCAAGAGCCTTGGTAAAATCTCGGACTCCAGAATCTTTGAAATACAGCTGGTCTTCAGTCCACCATACAGCTACTCAGGGCTCAGCTCACTGGTGAGGACAAGTCAAGGTTACCTGACAAGTTTAAAGCCAGAAAGTCCTCTGATATCCCTCTTTCTTTTGTTTACCACCCACAAATGTTGAGTCGATGGAGCGGTAGATCAACAGCTACCTAAGCAGGTAGGTAAGTCCTATGACAGACTATGAAGCTCCCAACCAAGACATGATTCACCTTCTCAGGAGAATCAGATAATAAAGTTTAATAAAGCATCCTGATACAAAAAACAAGTGGCAAATGAAAAGTAGTTTTTTTTTTTTAAAGTATATTTTTTTGGGGCTTTTTTATGCCTTTATTTGACAGTGAAGTAGAGAGAGACAGGAAATGGGGAGGCAGAGAGAGGGGGAATGACATGCAGCAAAGGCTGTCCGATGCAGGACTCGAACCGGGGCCAACTGCAGTGAGGACTGTAGCCTCTACACATGGGGCGCCTGCTTAGACCACTACGCGACACGATGCCCCCCTGAAAACTAGTTTTAACCTGAAAAAAGATTACTTTGAGCAGACTGTCACCAGTTGAAATGTTAGAAGCAGATAGAAAATCAGTGAGAAGACAGTGGATGAGTAACGTTCTCCTGTTCATCAACATGTGACCTGACCTCATCTTAGTTGACCAGTTGACTAATCAGTGGTTGGCTCTTTGTTCATGAAGACAGTTAGTAGTTGATTATTATTTCTTCTAAGCTGTTATTGAGTGGTTGATGTGACAGTGAGTGTGAATAATGATGGAGCAGTGATCTGAGTGCTGAGCTCCGACATGGAGAAGAGTCATGGACAGTTGAAGTTCCTCATTTCACCTCTGAGCTCTGGTCTGGCTCTCATGTTCCCCACACAGAGTGGTTTTAGAGGGAGGGGCTCCCTCCCCTCTGTCCTCACACTGATTCATAGCAGAACCCCCACCTGCTGGAAGAGCTCAGCACTCAAGTCATTACAACAAATTCTACAGTGCTGTTTTCCACTATGCCTTTCTGAATTCAACCACCAGAAGGAGCACTCAAAAGTAATTTAACCATTTTAAGATTCAAATCCTTCTTAAGATTTTCACCACGGACAAATGTTAAAGAAACTGCATTGGCTGAGTTCCTTCAGGAGCTAATTGGTAACAATCTATATTACATCTCTGTTGAATTCATGTTTTTAAATCAGCTTTGTGGCAGAAAAAGAAAACACTCACCTATCACAGAGTTGTTCTACCTTCAACGGCAGAGGAAATACAAAAGAGAAACTGCTGCTGATCTTCCTTCATTAGTCTTCATCATTAGTCTGAGGACACTGTCACACTCTCAACATTTCACAGTAAAAGTCTAGTGTCACACCGTGGTGAGGTTGTCTTGTCCTGGGTTTGTTTTGTCCTGTCATTTCCTGTTTTATTTTGAAAAGTAATTCTCCTCTCGTTTCAGGTCACTTGCCCTTCCTCATGTGTCTCAGTCTGATTGCCCTAAGTGTTTCCACCTGTCCCCTATTTTCCTCCATGTGTTTAAATAGTCTGTGTTCCCCTTGTCTTGTGCCAGAGTGTCTTCATCTTCGACCTGCACCCGAGCCTTTGTCCATGTCCACAGCCATAGTAATCGCCAAAGTAAGCCGTTTGTACCTCGAGAAGAGTGATTTTTTGTTTGTAAATTTTTCCATAGCTAAAGTTCATAGCTCTTTGTTTTTCCTCGTTGAGAGTGAATTTTTGTTTGTATTTCTTCCCTTAGCCTATTTCCATAGATCTTGGTTTTTCCTCGGTATGAGTGATTTTTATTTCATGTAGCCTAGTTATTAATAATTCTAGATCCTCCGCTTAGGAGCGTGAGTAGATTATTTTGGTTTATTTTTATGTAGTCAGGTTTTTCCTCCGTATGGAGCGTTTTGTGTTAGTCGGTTTGTTTCTTTTGATTAGAGCCTTTTTCCTTCTCTGGGAGTGTTTTTCGTTCCTCAGGATTCAGAGTTAGTGTCTAGTCTTTTTCATAGCCATTTTGTTTATCACTCTGTCTGAGGTCTTCGGTGAATTTATTAAAAGCCTATTGTTTTCTAAAATCTCTGCATCTGAGTCCTGCTTCGAGTCTCTGCCTGACATCTAGAAACATATATATCACATGAAACGACAGTGTGCTGCAAGTCACATCATAAGAAGTATCATATTCACATGTGAAACATTGTGAAAATTGGTTATTATGAATGTTAGATGTACTCCTCCTTCTGGGAGATGTACATTCCCCCCTACCAGTTACATTTGTATCCTACTCACTTTTTTGGCAGTTATGTAACTGCAGTGTAGTTTTTTCATTTATATATCCCTGGTAGTGCTATTTTTGTACATTTTTACAGTATATTATGTATATTTTAAAAAGAGTCACATTGTTCCTGAACTTTAACCAAGAATTGGGAGTGTCTAAAATAACCACAAAAACATTTTATTGTGCTTTAGTTACTATGAGTGAATATTGTATTGAAGAAAAGACATTGTAGGAGAAAATACACTGTCATTTTA